CCGAAACGCAGAAATCTGACCAATTTGAAGAAGATGGGGAAAAACACTTCTTGTATCCATTGGATCTTGGTTGTATGGAACTAACATCATAGAGGTAACTCTAAGATGTCTTTACATGGCCCTGGGGATACATTAGATATTTTAGAAGAAAGCATCAAAGTTAAAACCATTGAAACATTTTTTTTAAATATATAAACAACAAGCAACAAGCACCTCGCGTGATTTGCTGGTCGAAACCCGATAATAGTAGGTACACCGGGATGATCTTTGCTGCAGTTTTCTACGATGAAATGGCCGTTGCATAATCGTGCGATAAATTACTGCTCGGTTTCACCACGAGTCACTCCGATCGTCCTGATCTTGATAGTTTAAAAGTTTTGATTTTTTTGATTTGACCTTCCGAACAGCTGTTCTCTCATTTCCAGCGCAGTAGCGATTGCCCTGGTTTTGATGTATTTACTGCAACTGATCGTGTACTGCTTCGACTGCTTCGGACAGGCATTAGGATATGCACTGCTGGGAAATCCAACTCGGTTTTGGGGAACCTATGGCATGTCTTGACCGAAAACTCGCGGTTGAGTTTATCCGCATCCAACGCAAATTTGCAATTGTCAACAACAATGATCTGACACAGGCGCAGAAGTAGTACCATAGAGGTAACTCTAAGACCAGAAGGTACCGAATAAATGTGCTCAACTGTTTGGCTCAGCTCTGGTACTATCTTTGGTCCCAAGGTAATCGATGCACCCCTCGAAACTTAGGAAAATCCACGAACCCCTCATTTTATCTTTCAAACTTTAATAGCGAATCAAAACAAACATAGTGTAGTACTAGAATGTCGACTAGAATGGGGTACGTTAATCGATTTGCTTGGGACCAATAGGCTAGTCAAGTAGTGAGCCAATTTTAAATCGTTAGTTTCTAACAGGTGGTAGTACAGCGTTGCCAGTTACTTTAAAGATTATAAAAAATCTATCCATGGATGCAAAACAGTGCCAATGAGTGTGCCCAACTATATTTTTGGCAAACTGTGCGGAGTGACCAATCAATTGTGTCAACCATTGATTGGGAAAACATAACCGCTACTCAAACTTTTTCAGATGTTCAGCTTATGTCATTGACAGACACGTCCCTAAGAGCGTTAACCAGATTGCATCGCATCTCCCTTGGCAGACGAACGAATTGAAGAAGCTGAAATCGATGAAGCGAGCCGCTTTAAAGAAATTCACTAAATATCGCACGATGCCGCTGAAACGTCACTATGTTAAGCTCAATTAACAGTTCAAGCGAGTCAGCCGTCGATGCTACTAGCATAATCTGCGCGGGATTCAAAGGAGGTCTTTCTGGACGTACGTGAAGGAGCAGCGCAGAGCGTCCGGTCTACCATCATCCATGAGGTTTGCCTTTTGTTCTCCAACAAGTTTGCAAGTATCTTCTCTGACGAGAGCTTAACCAACGAATACGTGACCCTAGCAACAAGCAACGTTCCACTTTCCAGTCAAGCTCTGGGTGGAATTGTTGTCAACACCGAAGTGACTAAAACTAAAGCATTCTTTTAACCCTATACCGAATGGTGGTCCTTCAGTTTTTCTGAAGAAGCATAGATATCGCTAACTTACTATCACCGCTACAACATCTGTTCCGATTGTCCATCTCGTGTGCCATTTTTCCATCAAACTGGAAATTTGCCAAGAAATTTGCACATATGTTCCCTGTATATAAAAAGAGTAGTAAACGGGACGTGGATAGTTATCGTGGAATTACATCGTTGTGAGCAATTTCGAAGCTATTCGAATTATAAAGTCTCTGCTCTCTCATTGCAAGCAGTATTTAAGCGAAGACCAACATGGCTTCATCTCCGGTCGATCTACTACCACGATCCTACCAACAATCAATACGAAACTAGCGATTTTAAATTGGCTCACTACTTGACTAGCCTATTGGTCCCAAGCAAATCGACTAACGTACCCCATTCTAGTATAAATTCCAGTACTACACTATGTTTGTTTTGATTCGCTATGAAAGTTTGACAGATAAAATTAGGGATTAGTGGATTTTCCTATGTTTTGAGGGGTGAATCGATTAGCTTGGGTTCAAAGAAAGTACCAGAGCTGAGTCAAAAAGTTGAGCACGTTTCTTCGGGACCTTCTGGTCTTAGAGTTACCTCTATGGGTGTACCCCACAGTATGGGACTGCTATTAAAGCTTTGTCGGGGAGGAATGTTAAGTGGAATCTGTGCGAGAAGTTCAGGGCGGTCGATAGATCCTCCAATGACATCGAAGAGAAATAGCCGCTGCATCGTTACTCTTTTGACAGAAAGTGGCTCCAATCCTATGAGCTTGCATCGGTCGGATCGTTCCAGGGAAGTTGACTCAGTTCAAAACGTAACAACCGTTTCTGTCCCCGTTCTATCACGAGAACATGAGCTACATAATAAGGGGATCAAATCGGAGCTGCGTACTCCAGAATGCTACGAACCAACAAGCAGTAGAGTGTTTTTAAAGCGTGGATGTCGGTGAGCTCAGAAGCGTGGCGACGTATGAATACCAGCAGAGAAAAAGCTTTGGCAGTCGTAATGCTCACGTGTTCGTTAAATCTGAGCTTCGAGTTGAGGTCGCAGATGGACGACACACGTTCCAATGATGCCGTTTCCATCCTGCATTGATGAATAATGGGATTATTGCAGCGGCCGAAGGTATTAATTTTACACTTCTTGTTATTAACCCGCAAGCCGTTATTGCCACACCATACCAGCATAGTATCAATGTCTTCTTGTAGGGCAGTACATTCCAGACGAGAAGCTATGACACGATAGATTTGTAGGTCATCAGCGAATGAAAGCTTGAACGAGGAAAGCAGCAAACACAGGGCATTGATAAAAATGTGGTCCCAGAACGCTTCCTTGGGGTACACCAGACGTGATGTTGATAGTGCGGGATCGAGCCGAGTTGACCGTAACATATGCGGTACGATCGCACAAGAACGAATATATCTACGTACAAGTACAAGCTCGAGTACAAGAAATGATTCGTTAAAAAATTCACTGCAGGCTCCTTCAATTATTCTACATATTTAAAATTTACTTGAACTCTCTTTAAATTTCCATGCAGCATCAGAATTTTCTTGAAATTCTTCTCAGAATTATCCTATAGATCTTCTAAAATTACCTGGAATTCTACTTTGAATTCCCCAGAAATTCTTCTCAAGATACCTTTGGAACTATCCTTGGAATTCCCATAAAACTTTTCTCAGAATTCCGTTGGAATGATATCTTAAAAATTAGAATCCCTTGGGATCTTTCAGATTCCCTTGAAACTTTCCTCAGAATTTGCTTGAAATTATTTTTCTAATATCCTCTCAATTAAATACCCTCGGAATTTCTTTATTTATTTATTTTGAGAGGAAAGGCCCACTTCAGAAGGACCAACCTTGCCCCTTCTCAAGTGGGCGGAAAACCTGTTCTTTTCGTTTCAACAGATAACATAAAATTCTACAGATACATATATATTTAAACTAAATCTGGCAACATTAATCTTTACTTAATCAGGATGATAAAAAAATGATAGAATAAATACTTAAGGCTAGCACGGGAAGCAGTGAAGTAAAAAAAGTTATAACATTTATTAAAATGTTTACACATGCTAGTGATTGGTTCGTTTGCACCATAGTTTGTGCGAGAAGTCGAGATCGTAAAGAAAGAGTGGGTTCGCAAATTGACTCGTCTTATATTAATGTTAAGCTGTTGCAAAAGTGAACTACAGTCAATGTCCGAACGCAGGAGATCGGCGATGAAGACAGCCTTAGCGACGTCACGGCGAACACTGAGAAGTTGTAGGCTCAGCAAGTTACATCGACTTTCATAATTAGGGAGGTTCACAGGGTCTCTCCAGGGTAGCCAACAAAGAGCATAGCGAACAAATCAACAAACAATCCTCTGAATAGACTCAAGTCGATTCGTGGCATTGTTGTAAAACGGCGCCAAAACAACGATACCTACATCACAATCCAACAGAAGGCGTAGCAGTATCTAATGTAAGAGAAAATGAAAATGAAAGGTTGAAGAACTACAATCCCAAACGGTACGTATTGATAAAGAATATATTTCCATTTAAGATGTTGTCAGAACATGAAACCACCGGATAGTGATCTTCTGTATGCTTTAACAATTCTTGGAATCTACCGACCCCTTCCAGAGGATGATAACAACAGTGTCGGATTGGCCAGTGACATTCAAATGGTCAGCGAGTACTGTGCCGAGTTGCCGAGCGTCACAACTTAACTCCCCCGCTGTGGTCAGGTGCCAAGGCCGTACGGAACGGGCATGCATTTTACTAATGCACCATAAATGCTCATAAATGCATCACTAAAGGGAAAAGTGGAGGATAATTCTGAGATAGCAAATTTATGTTCGAGGAAGGTCCCACCATGATAGCCATAGTTTTAATCTTGAAAACAAATTTACTTACCATCTGTTCAATTTCAGCTGGGATTTTACTAGTTATCAGCATAAAGCAAAGAAAGAAAAGTTTCACTTTTTACGACAATCATAACTTGATTTTTTGAAGAGTTGCCAGTCTTCTTGATTTGTAGTTTTCGGTTCAACACTTCTTTTGAACATAAGCTGTTCTTTGTTCGTGTTTATGCCAAACGGCCATTATGCTAAATGAATCCATAATGATTCTAAGCACATTCATAAGAACATTCCAAAGAAAGTTGAAGAATGCAATATGCAAGGTAATTCGAGGTAAGGTAACATTGAAAACTTTTCCAGATCTCGGATGCAGAAAAAAGTAAGATCCTGAATTTGGAATACTTTCTGAAATTCTTAAACTATTTTTCCAATAGGGAAATTCACGTATTGTCTTAAATCTAAGCAGATCGTTTTGTTTGTAAGTGTGTTGTCTGTTTTCCTTCTTGACGCTCAATTAAAATGTGACGTCTGTTTTCTCCATAATACAACCATCAAAATATACTAAGAATCCATGAACCTTTCAACTTACCCATCATCAGCCACCACATCCGGGACCGTATCTTGTGCATCTTCGAATTCGGCGCCATCATCGCTCTCAACCGGACCATTCGTGTCAGCTTCCACTGTCACCGCTGCCGCCTCTTCCACGGTAGTAGAAATCACATTCGACTGCAGCAATGGTTGGTCTTGTTCTTTCTCCTCTTTCACATCACACCTACTGCTAGTAGTAGTACTATCATCTGTTAGTTCAGTTCCATTGGTTGCCGCTGCTTCTTCTGTCGTCGTTGGAATACTCGTCGATTGCTGTTGCTCTTCACAACTACTACCTTGCTCAACTACGGGTACGGATAATGGCACATCGTTTGCTACTGCTGCTACGTTACTATTCCTAGCATCATCAGTTTCATTGTTGGTGGTGGTTGTCGATTCGGGTTGATTTGGTTCTGTTACCACGGCATTGTCGTTGGTTGTAATACTGGGAATAAAAGATATATTTAATGCAATATTTTTTCAAGCTCGCACGATTTGAATCTTCTTACTTTGAGCTGCTGACGGGATCAACCGTCGAACTAAGCGAAGGCTGTGAGGATTGCGTCGCGCTAGCATCGAACATATCGGCCGTTGCGAATGCATCGTTGTTCTTGTCCGTAAAGCTATCGAGAGCGATGTTTTCATTATTATCAAAGAAAGATTTCGACGCATCATTGGCGTCGTTGTTCGCCTTGGTTGGCGCCGCCGCTGTCGTCGTGTTCGATGCCATTTGGAAATCCGTAAAGTGCGAATCGAAATCGGCGAAACTGTCCGAGCCGAAGTTAGCCCATGCATCGGATATCCCGTCCGGGTTCTGGTCCATTCCGCTGGGTTCGTCACCGGAGCCCCACGGGTCAGCATTTTCCGCCGAGTTGGCGTCCGACGGCCAGGCACTCTTGTTAATGAACAAATCAATCGCATTCTTGAGATCATCATCGTAAGGCCTATGGCCACCACCCCCATCTCCCGGGTCGGAATCGTCACTCTGCGCTGGTATTCTACCGCGACCCATGTAAAAGTTTCGAGTCTCCTCAGCACTCCCCTCGTGGCCGTCGTCGTCGTCTTCCTCGCCGAACATGTCACTGTCCATGCCGGGCATGATAAATGCATTGGCAGTGCCCACAGCCTCATCGAACAATTTGGTTAACTGTTCTACCGAGTTGGTAAAGCCCAACAGTTCGAACGAGGAGCTGTTGTTCATGCTGCTCAGGTCCATCACGGCGTTGCTGCTCGGGGAAGTATAGAAGGGATGATGAGAAGAATGGATATATAGTTAGTCCGAGTATGGAAATTGATCACCAGTCAAGCTCTAGTCACTGATAATTGCATTCCGTTTAAGATTTTGGTATGGTTTGGTTTGTTTTGTTGATTATCAAATCCAATCCAAATTTGAAACTAATTTTTCGATTTGAACTCTGATCCGCAATGCTGGAGTCCAGAAGCCATCACTGCCTCTGGAACCAGAACCCGAGCAAAGTCGATTAACAAAATGAAAGCAAATCGTTTGAAGTTTCTATCATTTTGAAAACTTATTTTGATTTTGATTGCCGCGACACATAATTGAAAACAGCTTAATTTCAAGTTCTGCTAATAACAGCTGGTTAAAAATGTAATTTAGGTTCTTATGTCGTTGAACTAACGATTATTATTTATTTGTTATGTTTAACACATTTTAGTTCATTCGTGACTTGTCCGGGTGAGCTTTAAAGTCAAGTCTTTCGTGCGTGATAAGCACGAATACTAACCATTTACCATTTAGGAATCAAATTGATTTAATTGAAAGCAGGAATAGTTTCCCGTTTTATTCAACAGTGTGAACCAACCAAAATGAGATCAACTGGAGTATTCAAAATAAATTACATCATAACAGAAAATTTTGATTTTAATTTGATTACCAGCTTTGCTCGGGAAACCTGCTATATCCTTAACGAGTTTCATATCGTTCACATTAACGAATCAGCGATTAAGTTATCGTTTATGGCCTGATTCACAATGCTGATTAACCACAATTGGAGTCATCTGATCAAGTTTGTGTTAACATCATGCTAATAACGATTGGTTTACGAACGGCAGGCGTGAATCAGCACAAGTGTAAACACCCCATTAATCGTGGTAATTATCAGGAACAACAATCAATTTGTGTACGAAATGCTACCAGAATTGCACGTAAATTATTATGCAATCATACACTCCTTTTTGGCGAGATCAACAATACTTACTTAATGTAATCCTTAAGGTTGTTGTCAATCTCCTTCGGGAATATCGTAACATCGGAGGAATAGTCTTTCTTCTGATATGGATCGTGGTCAGCCTGGTGACGAATTAAAAGTAAAATATTAAAGACCCCAATTAAAATAAAGAGTCATGACCTTGCTGCCACTTACCAAAAACCGCTTCTGCAGTTCAAGTATTGTACTCAGCTCACCATCCTCGGTGTCGATCACACGCCGCCAGCGGTCTTTCATGTAGTCCCCTTCGAGGGTCGATTCGACTAAGGCACAAAACTCCTCCGATACGTTCATGTTCGTGACCAGGGCCTCGAACATCTCGATCAGGTGGCCCATGTAACCGAGCCGGCGGCACTTGCGTGGCGATTGTTGCTCCTGCTCCTCGTCCGACTCCTCCGATGGTGGCTGCTGTGGCGTTTGCATCTCCTCGTTGTAGTACCACAGGTCCACCAGCCGGGCGGCCAGTTTGCAATCGCAGATAATCTGAGGGTACGGGATGAACAACCGTTAAGCACCATTGATAAGCGTAATTCAAGCAACGCAAATTGTACAAACTCACATGTCGCTGCAGGTCCGAGGTAAGCAGCTTGGTTTCACCCTCCTGCTGGTCGAACGATTGTATGGCGTAGTTGACGCACACCTTGGCCTGATTATGCAAAAAATTGTTCCAACAATATTGCTTAAAAAGGTTGAGCAATGTACTATAAAAATCTGATCCGCATATTCTGAAAAAAAAAGACATGAACAAAATCTTGATAATCAATCCTATTGACGGTTTAAAAACGGGGAAATACTAACGTCCTGATAACATCACTGTTCTCGGTTTCTATTAATACTGTAAATAAATTACAAATCTGAAGTCTCACGTTTCCTAGAGGTGGTGAAAGTACGCCGACCGTGGTAATAATGTCGGCTTTCTGTCGGGTGAATTTTCAAATCATTAGTAATGGACCAGAGCATCGCAAACTTTGCTTTTCTACCAACCTGAGGCGGATTCGTTAAAATGTGAATAAACTCAAGCATTCTCGGGTGTATGACCTTGACTAAGCGAAGCACGACGGTGTCATGGTGTTCTTTCTCGGCATCGATGACCATCTGGAGAGCAGTATCGGAGACCGGCTCTTGTCTGCGGAATAGAAAATTTTCAAATGACAAATTCAAATCAGTTCCAACGCAAAACGGACACGCACATGATCGTATTCTCCAGCAGTCGCAGAACAATTCGGATGCCACCGATGATGGCGCTTTCTTCGCTGTTCTCCTTCAGGATGATGTCCAGTAACATTTGGGTGGTGGCTTCATTTTCCAACGTGTCCAGGATGGGATCGGATGTAACTGTTCCGGATGGGAAGGAAATTAAGACAATTCAAAACCGGCATTCCTCTAAATGAACGACGCACGACAACTACGATTGTGCCAAACTAACATTCTACCTTATTGCATACATTACATTGAATGATGAATCGGAATGAACTAAATAAACTCAAAACTGGTAATGCCTCAGAAAAGTAAAGATAGATAATTGTTTTTAAATCAGTTCTTTTTTTTGCAAACAAATCACTACATAAATCAAACTCCGTGTCACACGCTTAAACTGTACACATCGATTCGAAAATAAATCTTGTTTTGGAAGAAAAAAATAACGTGTAAAAGATACTGTATCTGCAACAGTCAACTTTCCCTAGCTCGATATTGAAAGGACCGCTGAGCAAGTTTAACAAATTTGCTAGTTAGGAAAACATCGAATAAGTGAGAGTTTACTTTGCTTAGGTACCTTTAATTGAAAGTACTCGACTCAGTGATGAAAAACAAATTAGCCTAATGCAGAGTGGCCAGCGTATTTCCATTTTTAAATCCCCGGTTTTGACGTTGGATAACGTCTTTCTGCAACATATTGGGTGTAAAATTTCAAAAAACCAAAATCGACCGCGTTACGAAAAGTGGTTAGGTTTTGACCATTTATGGCTCTGTGATTTTAATTCTAAACAAGCCAATCGCTTGGATTTTTTTTCTACGAATCTGCTAAAATGAACACATTATCGATTTTCAATAGGTCACTATTGAAAATTATACAAATGTCGAATTGTTGCAATGGTGATCAAAATTATCACCGATTGCTTGCAAAAAGCGCTTTCCCAAATACAGATTTCAAAATCGAATTCCATCCGGTCTGGCCGAACGATGTTTATTAAATCACCGCGTGACCGTGGTCCATGGTGTCCGGTCGTCATCATCAGCATCATTTCGGCGCGTGGCGTTGTACATGTTTGTCCAGTATACAACGAAAGGCTCTCTGAAAGCAGCTAGCTATCAAGACTGTCCAGAAGAGCCCTGGATTCACCGAAGAAGGAGGAAGAAGCCGCACCGCTACTGATCGGATTCAGTTGTTCGTCGTGATCCGCTGTGGGCTATCTATGCCAAGCGTGCCTTGTTCCAAACAACATACACTTCGCCGATAATAGCTCAGCATTACACAACCATCACGACAAAATGGTTCTTTTCAGGACCACCATAAATTATTGTTATTTAAGAGATAATTTTAATTGAACGTTCGCTCACCTCGCTGCTACATCACCCACATGGAGGCGAACCAGCCCAAGGCTGAAAGCCTCCCTAATAAAGATAAATTAATTAATTACATCACCCACAAAGCTGTAATGTAGATAATGTACCCAGTAGGCAAACGTTTGTGGTGCATAAAAATTAAAGCAATGACCGAATACCACATGACCTTGTCAATTACCCACAAACACTTAGAATTAAGGTAGGATTTTCTCCAGAAAGCTAGAAAAACAAAAAAAAAAAAACAAAATATCTCGAATTTATATGATTAATCGCGAATATCCTCGCGATTGGACAATTTTAGCAAGACATTCCTCCAATCGATTTTCGCTATTTTTATTATCTATTGAATAAACCGAAAATTTCGTGCGTTTTGTACACGGAAATGCGTAATTTTGTTTTGTGGTTTCCCTAACACAGTCGCCGAATATTGATACTGAGCACGTAATCCTGCGTCAAATCTACGGTCGTGTCTTGGATACAACCTCTTACTTTTTATTTTCGGTACAGGATGAGGGTGGCTATAAGTTGGAATTCGCATCTAGAGCAAGTCATTAGTAAAGCAACAAATGCTCTTTGGATAAGTAAAAAAACTTTTGGTAGGAAATGGAGACTAAAACCTAAAATGATCCACTGGATTTATTTGACGATTGTAAGACCCAGAATAACCTATGCATCATTGGTTTGGTGGCCTAAAACCAATGAAAAATCAGCTCAGAAAAAGCTGGGGACGCTGCAAAGACTAGCTACTCTCTCAATAACTGGTGCAATGAGTAGCACACCAAGTATGACACTAGATGCTCTACTTTATCTGCTTCCGTTGCACCAATTTATTCAATTAGAATCCGAAAGGAGTGCATTAAGGATCCGACGGTCACAGTACTTCCTTGAAGGTGATCTTTGAGGACATATGAGCATCCTAAAAATGTTCAATATTGAATCTATTGTGTTACAAAATGAGGATTGGATGAAGAAAAAATATCACTTCGATCGTCTTCACAATGTAGCAGATGCGGATCGCGATTTGTGGGACAATGGGGGACCAAACATTCGTCCAGGATCAGTTGTCTTTTAAACAGACGGCTCTAGATTGGATAATCGTGTAGGAGCAGAGGTAACAGGTATAAATATCTCAATATCTATGGGCTACTGGCCTACCGTGTTCCAAGCAGAAGTCCAAGCAATTCTTGAATGTTCTAAAATTTGCTTGCGTAGAAATTGTAGACATTCGAATATCTGCATTATGTCTGATAGCCAAGCAGCACTGAATGCTTTGAAATCAGCAACATGTAATTCTAAACTTGTATGGGAATGTGCAATGTCACTCCAAAAATTGGCCTGCCAAAACCAAGTGAACTTATTTTGGGTTCCTGGTCACTGTGGAATTCAAGGGAATGAGAAAGCCGACACACTAGCTAGGCTTGGATCATCTCAACAATTTATAGGACCAGAACCATTCTGTGGAGTTTCTGCTTGCTCTCTTAGAATGGAGTTCAAGAAATTGGAAAAAATGAAAGTGGAGAACAATTGGAACAACACTCTCATTACTAGGCAGTCGAAACGGTTTATTAATCCGAGCATTTCAATGACTAGAAAAATTCTTTTACTATCAAAGAAAGATCTCAGTAAGTACACTGGTTTATTAACAGGGCACTGTCCATATAAATATCACTGGAAGCTAATAGGAAAACTTCAAGATGACATGTGTCGATTATGTGGCATAGAAAAAGAAGACTATGAACACCTGCTATGCTCTTGTACAGCAATCTTCAATAAGAGGCGTATTTTTCTGGATAAGGGGCTGACAGAACCCTTTGATATTTGGAATTCAGTTCCCAGCCAAGTAGTGCAATTCATTCGAAATGTAATACCTAACTGGGAAAATGCTTACGGTCAGTCTATGTCGGTCGCTTCATAAAATTGTGTTACAACATGCTGATAAAGCAATATTAAAACGGGGAATATATCACAATAGATCTAAGTACTGCTAAGTACTACTAAGTAAAAGAGGGTGGCCAGTGAATTTCAATTCCAAAATTCCCGGTACCCGATTTTACCGGTACAAATCTCAAAAAGTTCTCGGTGTTTGATATTCAGCAATAACCAAAATTGAACACATAGGCTGTGGAAAATGTCAGCCCAAAACACATTACCTACCGCCTCATGAGAGCCCCTAAGCCTCGCAACGCAGTCGCGTTTGACACCTGCCACCGTAATCATTCTGGCCCTGTGGTTGAGAACAACGCTGAAGGGGTCTTTCAACCTTCGATTTCAGGCAAGTATGCGTTTATTAAAACTTCGTCCTCGTCTGATCAGCCTCTACGTTTCAGCGCAACGTCATCTTCACCGCCGACTGAACCTCGCCTTTCCGATGGCCATGTGATGTATTATCAAAATGTTCGTGGCCTGCGAACTAAGATTGACGACTTTTATTTTTATTTTATGTTATTTATTTATTTACTTGTCTTCGTATAACAAAAACGCACAGACAGAATTATTAATGTCTAGTTGAAGAACTAATCCTATCTTTAAACATGGTTTTCGAAATATTAAAATCATAATCTTCACGCGATTCGTTGAAACGACGGCAGCAAACATCCAGTGGATTGTTTTGACCGTAGACAGTACGATGCTGAGGAATACGGAGAAGGTCATTTTGTCGCGTCTGCCTAGCCGGTGCATTGAACTGGATTTTCCCTAGAAGTTCAGCATAATCTACATTGTTGTCCAGAATGTCGAATATGAACAGCCGTTGCAGAAGAATCCTTCTATCAGCCAATGTTGAAAGACGAATTAAAGCACAGCGATCCTCGTACGGCGGTAGAACAACCGGATCGTTCCATGGTAGCAGTCGTAGAGCGTAGCGGACAAAGTTACGTTGAATCTATTCCAGTATGCTACGCACTAGCGAACAATACAATGTTTTTAGACAGTATACATCCTCAAATTGCTGCGTGTTGCGCTTGATGAATCCTAGTATCGCATATGCTTTGGCGGTGGTTGTTGCAATGTGCTCGGTGAATTTCAGCTTACTGTCAAGTATTAATCCAAGATCCTTGATTGATGACACATGGTTGACACTTGAAGCGTTCATCTTATAATCGAAAATGGAAGTTGTCCTAGATCGGTTGAACGAGATGATGTTACATTTACGAATATTCACTTCCATTCCGTTTAACGAGCACCATTCAAGAAGCGAGTCGATATCCATCTGAAGAGCGCAACAATCGACCATGGAGGTTATCAGGCGGAAGAATTTCAGGTCATCAGCGAACATGTACTTCGGTGATCTGATGAGTCCGCACAGATCGTTAACAAACAGCACGAAAAGTAATGGTCCCAAATTGAGAACGTTTCAGATGAGGTTCCACCGAGGCGTACAAAAGTCCAACGCTCAGACAAGTACGATTCAATCCATTGAGTAAGCCACTGAGGGAATCCCATGCGTTTGAGTTGTTCCACTGCCAGTGCATGCGGCACTTTGTCGAATGCTTTAGAAAAGTCAACATAACCTGCATCGACCTGTTGTCGCTTTTCAAGGCTGTCCACAAGAGAAGAAACGTAGCACATCAGGTTGGTTGTTGTTGACCGCTTCCGGACAAATCCATGCTGACTCTCTGATATCACATGTTGAACGTTACGATACAAAGAATCATGGACAAGACTCTCCAAGACTTTAGGAAAGCAACTCAAAATCGAAATTGCACGATAATTTTCGACGTCATTAACATTACCACTTTTATGCATGGGGGTGATGGCTGCAGTTTTCCATT